AAAAAAAAAAAAAAAAAAAAAAAAAAAAAATTAACAAATAAAAGTGAAGTTTACAGGTGAATTATACAAAGATAAAGAAATTAAAGTAGGGCCAGGCGCAGTGGCTCATGCCTGTAATCCTGGCATTTTGGGAGGCTGAGGCAAGTAGATTGCCGAAGCTCACAGGTTCAAAACCAGTCTGAGCAAGAGCAAGACCTCATCTCTAAAAATAGCCAGGCGCTGTGGCAGGTACCTATAGTCCCAGCTAGCTGAGAGGCTAAGGCAAGCAAATCGCTTAAGCCTAAGAGTTTGAGGCTGCTATGAACTGTGACACCATGGCACTCTACTGAGGGCAACATAGTAAGACTCCACCTCAGAAAAAATATAAATAAATAAAAGAGAATCACTTAAACCCAAGAATTTGAGGTTGCTATCAGCTATGAGGCCAGGGCACTCTACCAAGGGCAACAAAATAAGACTCTTGTCTCAAAAAAAAATAAAAAATAAAAAGAAATTAAAGTAGATGGAGGGTCTGCTATCATAACAGCCTCATTCATTTGCACTTAAAAATGTCCTAATTAGAAGTACTGCTATTACAGTACTGTAATATCCATGTTTAATTAAAGTTACTGTTCGCTACTTGTAAGTATTCATAAGGTTGTAAAAACCATTAAACAGGGCGGCGCCTGTGGCTCATAGGAGTAGGACCCTGGCCCCATATGCCAGAGGTGACGGGTTCAAGCCCAGCCCCAGCCAAAAACAGCAAAAACAAACAAACAAACAAACAAAAAACCCATTAAACAAAAGCAAAGTTCTCAGACATTCTGATGTTCTAACACAGAATTATACCATGGATGGAATAGGCCCTTGAACCATGTAAAACTATATGCAAATGTCAGTGTTGTGAACTTAACTACAGATAGTATCTCTTTCTAAATCTCAAAGAGGTCCAATATACAAAACAGGATAAAAGCCTAACTTGGGAGTATTTATTTTAATAGAAATCAGAAAGAATTTAACCTTGTGGTTGCCTTTTCTTTTTGGGGGGGGTTACAGTCTCACTTTGTCACTCTTGGAGTACAGTGGCATCACAACTCACAGCAACCTCAAACTTTTTTTTTTCTTTTGAGACAGTCTCAAGCTATCACCCCAGGTAGAATGCCGTGGAGTCACAACTCACAACAACCTCAAACTCTTGGCCTCAAGCAATTTCTCTTGCCTCAGCCTCCCAAATAGCTGGGACTATAGGCACCTGCCACAATGCCCAGC